CAACACAACAGCAGTAGTAGTATTAGTGGTAAAAGAAATAATAATGGTAGTAGTAGTAGTAGTAGTAGTAGTAGTAGTCGTAGTAGTAGTAGTAGTAGTAGTAGTAGTAGTAGTAGTAGTAGTAGTGGTAGTAGTAGTAGTAATAGTAATAGTATAGTAGTCGTCGTAATAGTAGTACTGGTAGTAGGGGTAGTAGCAGTAGTAAGAATAGTAGTACTCGTAATAATAGTAGTAGTAGTAGCCGTACTTGTAGCCGTAGTCGTAGTAATAATAGCAATCGTAGTAGTAGTAGTAGTAGTAGTAGTAGTAGTAGTAGTAGTAGTAGTAGTAGAAGTAGTAGTAGTAGTAGTCGTAGTCGTAGTCGTAGCCGTAGTAGTAGTAGGAGTAGCAGTCAAGCTAGCCAGCTCGAACGAGTCAAGCATGGCATGCCCAGTCCCACCCGCCCTCCCACAACATAAGAAGCAAAGCTGGCACAACTGGGGGCCGAAGTCACACCGGCCAGCCGGTTTGGTACAGCTGATGCGGCCGCGATGGCGGTTGCCGACGGGAACTGGCGAGCGCGTGTTGAATGCCGCGCACGCATTGCCAGACGAGTCGAGAATGGCCGGTACACCGCAGGAAGCCAGAGGTGGCCGGAGGAAGCCCGACGGTCTGACAGGACACCCCAAAGCATTTTTGTGAAAAAGCATTGGGTTTTTGATGTTTTTATGTTGAAATGCTTGCAAACACACGGTGTTCGGTAGGATTCTGACATGAACGCGCGAGTGTGCTCTTTGTGGTATTTTTTGCACAGGATTCGCGGCCTGGGTGCATGACAGAGCATCGCGAGTGCACCGCGCGATGACGTGAAATCGCTGGATTTGACCGAATTCTTAAGATTCCTATGGTTTTCCTATGATTTCAGCAAGAGAGCCCGGGCGGGAAATTTGTACAATTTTTGTGAAAAAAAAACATTGGGTTTTTGATGTTTTTATGTTGAAATGCTTGCAAACACACGGTGTTCGGTAGGATTCTGACATGAACGCGCGCGTGTGCTCTTTGTGGTATTTTTTGCAATGGATTATCGCCGTGGACGACAGGACGTCCATGTCGAGAGGAAAAAATAAGAAAAATGTTGATTTTATATTGTTTTTTACAGGTTAGGATGGGACCACCCGGATGCGGCCCCTAATGGCCGGCCTGAGGGGGGAGTAGGAGTATATTCTAATAAGGAATAGTAGTAGATAGGAGTAGAGTAGTAGTACTGTAGTAGTCGTAGTAGTAGTAGTAGTAGTAGTAGTAGTAGTAGTAGTAGTAGTAGTAGTAGTAGTAGTAGTAGTCGTAGTAGTAGTAGTAGTAGTAGTAGTAGTAGTAGTAGTAGTAGTAGTAGTAGTAAGTAGTAGTAGTAGTAGTAGTAGTAGTAGTAGTAGTAGTAGTAGTAGTAGTAGTAGTAGTAGTAGTAGTAGTAGTAGTAGTAATAGTAGTAGTAGTAGTAGTAGTAGTAGTAGTAGTAGTAGTAGTAGCCGTCGTACGAGTAGTAGTAGGAATCAAGAGTAGTAGTAGTCGTCGTAGTATCAGTAGTCATAGTAAGAGTAATAGTAATAGTAGGAGCAGCAATCCTAGAAGCGCTAGCATTCATTAAACTTATAATTCTCAGTATGAGAATCATTGTTATTACTCCATCCTCCCTGCCTCCAGGTTCGCTGCTCCCCTCCTCCCTGCTCCCGGGGATGAGCAAGACCCCATTAGCAGAACACCCGTCAGTGCAAACGCTCCGGGACCAGACCCGAGGAGCGCAGGTTCTCAAACATGGCGGCCACAACGCCCTCTCGATGACCATAGAAGGGGCCATTCGCCAATCGACGTGGCAGGGTGGGGGTTCCACGAACCACCGATGCTCCTTCGCCGCCTCCCCCCTCCCTGGCTCCCTTCCCCTCCACCCTCCTTGCTCCTGCTCCCACGGTCGCCTCCCCGCGCCCCCCCCCCCCCTCGCGCCTGGGGTTCGCGTGGGGGCATCCAGCCCTTGGCCCTGTCGCTGCGGAAGGGGTCCTCCAGGCGCGCCTCCGTGCTTCACCCAGGGGGCGCGCAAGCGCTGTCTGGAGGAGGGACGTGGATCTGGTGTTGCTGGACATGGTCCTGGCCCACCTGTTCCCAGCTGTTCGCTCCATTTTGAAGCCTCTGGGGTCCGATGGGCCCTGCGATGTGTGCTTTGGAAGCCTTGGGGGGCTCCTTGAGGATCCTGGGGACACCTTGGGCCAGGGACACTTCTGGCAACACCCGCGTGGAAGGCAAGAACGGGAACAGAAGGGGCCAGGACAGGAGGAAGTCCAGCAGGCACCACCGATGCGGCACGGCAGTCGGGACTGACTGCAGAGGACGCCCACGAGGCCACGGAGCTGTCTTGAGGGCAACCGGCGCTCCGGGCATGAAGAGGGCATGAGACGCGGCAGGCAGAGCACACGAGGGCTCCCTTGATTCTGCAGGGCCGACCTACAGCTTCAGACCCGACGGTGCGCTCCACGGTTCAAAGCCTGAGAAGAAACCGCCGACCCCCGCTTGCCTGGGGTGCAAAGGCGTGGGAGATGATTGGAGGACGAGGAAGAGGAGGAGGAGGAGGATCGAGGGTCGAGGAGAATCGAGGATCGAGGAGGACCGAGGATCAAGGATCGAGGTGTGTGTGTGTGTTTTGTGTTTGTGTGTGTGTTTGTGTTTGTGTTTGTGTTTGTGGTGTTCATTGTGTTTGTGTCCGTGTTCGTGTTCGTGTTCGTATTCGTCTTCGTGTATGTGTATGTGTTTGTGTGTTTGTGTTCGTGTGTGTGTTGTGTTCGCATTTGTGTTTGTGGTTGCGGTTATATGTTAGTGTGTGTTTGTGGTTGTGGTTGTGACTGTGGTTCTGACTGTGATTGTGATTGTGATTGTGATTGTGGTTGTGGTTGTGGTTGTGTTTGTTTTTGTGTTTATGGTTGTGCTTGTGTTTGTGTGTGTGTGTTTGTGTGTGTGTTTGTGTTGTGTTGTGTTTTTTTTGTGTGTTTGTGTAGTTTGTGTTTATGTCTGTGTGTTTGTGTTTGTGTGTTTGTGTGTTTGCGTGTTTGGATGTTTGTTTGTGTGTGTGCTCGTGTATGTGTGCGTCCTTGTGTGTTGTGTGTCTTTGTGTTTGTGTGTGCTTGTGAGTTTGTGAGTTTGTGATTGTGTGTTGTGTGCTTGTGTGTGTGCTTGTGTGTTTGTGTGGTTATGTGCTTATGTGTTTGTGTGCTTGTGTGTGTTTGTGTGCTTTTGAATTGTTGTTGTTGGTGTTGCTGTTGTTGTTGTTGCTGTTGGTGGTGGTGGTGGTGGTGGTGTGTGTGTGTTTGTGTGATTGTGTGTTTGTGGTTGTGTTTGTGTTTGTGTGCGTGTGTGTGTGTGTGCGTGTGCGTGTGTGTGTGTGCGTGTGCGTGTGCGTGTGTGTGTGTGTGTGGCTGTTAATAGTGTTGGCTTGTAGCTTCCTAAGAGAAGTCGCACTGTTCTAGCGATGCCGGAAGGTGTCACTGAAGACTCGCTTTCGGGGGGGGGGGCACGTGCTCTCGTCACAGGAGCCAGTCCTGCGGGCACTTTGGGCTCTGGGCCGACACGATCTCAGATCATTGAGCGCCGGGATAACCCCAAGCGCACGTGCAGGAAGTGGGCACCAAGCACGGCGAAGCGGAGAGAGACTCGAACACGGGAGAGCGGCAAGACAACGCTGCCAGGGGCAGAGCAGGGAAGGAGGAGGACGAGGATGAAGAGCGGAGGAGGAGAGAGGGGGGGGAACAGGGGGGTGGGGGGGCGGGAGGGTGTGGGGGAGGCGGGGGGACTGCATGGGGACTGGAGGGAGGGGAAGGGCGAGAAGGCATGCGGAGAGCGCAGTGGCGATTGCGAGGGAAGGGGGAGGGGGCAGGAAATGGCCTCAGTACAGAGCAGTTTTTGATACTTAGCACCTTTTAAACATATAGGATGTTTAATACATGATTAATTCATGAATGCATGTATGCATGAACTCATCGTTGTTTTTAATACTAACCCGGAGAAGCAATTAAGGAACCCCCCGGCGTTATCATTAGCACCGCGCCGTAATTAAATAATTATTTGGGGGGGGGTCGCCGAGCGATATTATTAGCACCGCGCAAATGGAAGGAAAATATATAATTCCAGCGCCCCGCCTCGGGTGGCATCCCAATTAGAATTGTAATGAGAATAAGAATACGAATACGAATAAGGAAAAGCTGAGAAAAGCTAAGGAAAAGCTTAGAAAAGCTAAAAAGCTGAGAAAAGCTGAGGAAAGCTAAGGAAAGGCCAGGTGTTCCCCTTCCTGGTGCCAGGATAACGCTTCCGGGTGCCGGGTGCGTTATCCTTTCACCGGAGAGGGGGGGGGGGTCCTTAATCGCTTACTCGGGTTAAATACCTCCATTTTCATACATGATCCGCACGCGGAGCATGTATAAAAAAACGGCACTGTAACAGCCGCCGGCGTCAGCAGACGCTCTAAGGAGGTCCGCGCGGGCTTCTCGGCTCGGCGCCTGGCCGGGTCCCCCCTGCCCTGGGCGCGCGAAGCCCCCTGCGCGGCCGAGGAGCTCGCCTGCAGCGGGAGCCCGGCCACGAGAAACCTTCAACAAGAAACCCAACCCCGAGACCCCAGGACGTCCATTGACAGTGGGAGCCCGACTACGAGAAATCTCCAAATTGAGGGATGCAAAAACGCCCCTGCCCTGGGTTACAAGTGCGAGGTCCGCAAACCTCCTGGGAGCTCCCGAAGGCCAGAGAGCCGCCAGGACGCCGCGCGACACGCGCGGTTTGCAGGGTCTGCCCTTTCAGCCCACAGGAGGTTCAGCGCACAGCGCCTCGTAAACCAGGGTAGGGGCGTCTTTAACGGCCCTGATTCAACAAGAAACCCAACCCCGAGACCCCAGGACGTCCATTGACTTTTGGTGTGCGGAACGTCGCAGTGTCCAGAGCAAAACCGTCGAGGCCCAAGAAACTCCAGGCACCCTGGAGGCAAGCAAGGTGTTTCTTGGCATAGGTCTCCACTGTAACGAGTCCGCGCGGATCTCCGAAGATTGCTGTCGGGACGTCGTGAACGGGGGTTTAGCTAAACGGGGGCTTAGGCTTTTCCATGTGTCCCCGTTGACTGTGCCCCCGTGTACAGCGCCCAGGGCCCCCTAAACGGGGGCATAGCCAAACGTGGAAACCGGCGTTCCCCGTGCCCCCGTCTGTGACGAGGGAACAACTCACACCCATAGGGCCGAAGGGAGGGGAACTGGCTATGGGTACGGGTGCGAGTTGTCGGACCCTGGGGGAAGCTCCCGTTCGAGCGGGGACCCCCATCCGACAACACGCACCCATAGCCTCCTCCGCCCCCCCAATGGGTACGATAGGGTGCGTGTTGTTCGATCGTCAGTCCGCTCGCCCCCGTCTCTGGCGCCCTGATGCTGCGCACGCCGTCGGCGCGGACCTCCGGGCCCGCGCGGCGGAGTCCGCGCGGCGCTCCTCTTCGCCGCGGGCGCGGCGCACTCCGCGCCCTGCCAGCCGGGGCGGCTGGCCCTCACTCCTCCTCCTGTTGGCAGGAAGCAGACGGGGAGGGAGGATGGGGGTGGGAGGAGGAGGCGGAGGAGGAGGAGGAGGAGGAGGAGGAGGAGGAGGCGGAGGAGGAGGAGGAGGAGGCGGAGGAGGAGGAGGAGGAGTCCTGGACCCCAGGGCCCTCCGCAGAGGCCTCCCGGGCGGGGTCGGGGTCAAGAAGCTGGAGTCGGAGGCCTCCGCGGCCTCCAGAGCACCCCCTCGCGAGGCCCCCGAGGGGTCCCCAGGGGCTGCAGGGGGGAGCGACAGGCGGGGGGCACCCCGGGCCGGGGGCACCTCCGGCGGCCCCCGACGCGTCGGGGGCGCGGGCGCCGAGGAGGCCAGGCGGCGCCCGCGCAGAGGCCTCCAACCGTGGGGTCGGAGGAGCGCGCCGCAGCGGCGACGCGTCGGCGACGTCGGCGGCGCACCGGCGGCGCCGGCGGGGAGAGGCCTCGGCGATGCGGCGCGTTCCAGCGACCCCACCCGCTATGGCCCCATCTGCGAGGCCCAGGGGCGGGCGTCGATGGATGGAGGGGCGACCAGTGGGAGGGGGAGGCACGTGCACCTCTCGTGCCCCGGCTGGGTCACAGGGGCCCCCCACAGGGCCCCCCTTAGGGCACAAACGGCGACAGCTTTCTTCCAACTCCCCCCCCATGTATCGCCCCCCCCCCCCCCCAAAACACGCCGGTCGGATGAAGTTGGTAGAACCATGGAGTAGGAAGGCGTGTGAGGCAGATTGGATTCCCGCCCGCCCCCAGAAGACGAAGAGAGAAGTAACACCACTCGATCCCTGGAGTAGAAAGGCGCCTGAAGCGGATTGAAATCTGGGAGTCCAACGATACCTACATGCAACGACCGATGGGTACGAAACGCCCGCCACAGAGAGACGGGCCCTGGACCCCAGAGGCCGTCCACCGAGACCAGCGCTTCTCCGCCCGGGCCGCTCTCTCAGGGCGCCCCCCGGGGGCCCGTGGAGGGCACCGAGCGAGCCCCGAGAACGGCGGAGAGCTCTTGGGGCCGTGGCTCCCTCAGGGGGAGGAGGAGGAGGAGGAGGAGGAGGAGGAGGAGGAGGAGGAGGAGGAGGAGGAGGAGGAGGAGGAGGAGGAGGAGGAGGAGGAGGAGGAGGACGAGGACGAGGAGGAGGAGGAGGAGGAGGAGGAGGAGGAGGAGGACGGCGGGAGGAGAGGACGGTGAGAGGAGGAGGACTGTGGGAGGAGGAGGAGGAAGAGGAGGAGGAGCTCTCAGAACCCGTTTGCTCCATGGCGGTCCTTGCGCGCCCGTACTCGCGCTGCGCTGCCCGCGCCGCTCGCCCGTCGGGCGGTTGGAGGGGTCAGTGGAGCTCCCGCCGGTGGCGTCCAGGGAGGGGGGCGTCCAAGAGGGGGGCTGGCGTTAGGTCGGGCGGGTCCTTCTACAGGCGGGTCTTGGACGAAACAAACTGAATTTCGAAAAATGCTCAAAGATCATCATCATCAACAACAACAACAACAAAAACAAAACCACCACAACAACAACAACAACAACAACAACAACAACAACACCAACACAACAACAACAACAACAACAACAACAACAACAACAACAACAACAACAACAATTACTTAGCACGTGGGGACACTCCGTTCTCACCAGTGCCAGGGTTTTCATAGGAGGCGGGCAATACCCCCACTTTGTGGGGGGGCCGGTTCAAGCTCTACCAAATTTCCAAACGACTCTTCGCCACCACCCACACCCAGCTTCCCGCCCTATGACGTTCGGACACTTCACTTCGTGGCATGCGGACGACCGTGGCTACTATTCAGGGCCCCGCGGCCGACGACGACGGCGTGCGCGCGCGAAGAAAAAACGAATGTGTCCCGCATGGTATTATTTGACAGGGATGATGGCCCTGGCAGGTGCGCAACCGTTGTTGCAGAAGTTCGAAAAAGTTGCTCGCAAAAGCCCGTTTGACAGAAATGTTTAAAAAGTGTTGGGTTTCCTACGAATCCGCAAGAGCGCGCGGGATGAGATTTTGACATTTTTTTGTTGAAAAACCATTGTTTTTTTGATGTTTTTATGTTAAAATCGCTGCGAACACTAAGGTTTTGGAAGGATTTCGTCTTGCGCGCGCGAATGTCCACTTTACCTTATTTTTTGCAAGGGATTCTTGAATTTTGATTATATTAGAACAAGAAATGTCATTTTATATTGTTTTTTGCAAGGGAAAGCGGATTACAACAAAACAACCGGATCCTGTACACACCCTCTTTTCTGAGGCTTCCTCACGAAAGTGATGAAAATGTAGCTGCGGCCTAGGCGGCGCAGGGGGGGCGCGCACCAGGGGGCCCAACAATAATTATTCTTTAGAATAAATAATGTTCAACAAGTGAGCATTCGTTTATTATTTGTTTTTGCTTTCGGCGGAACGCCCCTCCCCCCCCCTCCCCCCCCCCCGTAGAGAAGTTCCGGGCTGATTTTGGCACCTGCTTCAATCGATCGGACGAACTACAGGGGCCGGCGCCCCCCCCCCCCTCCCCCGGTAGAAACTCGAATCGCTGATGTGTGCAACTGTGCGCATTTTATCGTGCTACTCTTCTGGAACCACAACGAAAGGGCTCAGGGGCGCCAGACCCGATCGCCAGAAAGCATGCCTCCGGCTGGGCCCTCCGCTGTTATGCCAGCGACGGCCTCGTGGAATCATGAATAGGTGATCCCTAGCAATTCTGGCACAGGCTTGCCAAATCAGGCATAGCCTTGGCGCAGCCCCGCGCAGCCGCTGCGCGATTCCCCCATGGGGGGTCTCCCCTAGGATTCCCTCATCGGCATCTCCCACAGGATTCCCCACATGATTCAATCGGAGGCATTGACTACGGGCCGAGAGCCGGACCCCCCCCCCTCCCCCCCATGCGCCTAAAGCCGGAACCCAGAATAAAAAAATGCTCACCACCACCAACAACAACAACAACGACAACAACAGCAACAACAACAACAACAACATCATCATCAGCATCATCATCAGCATCATCAGCATCATCAACAACACGACAACAACAACAACAACAACAACAACAACACCAACACCAACAACAACAACAACAACAATCACTTTACCCGAACGCTCAGTGTTCTCACCAGTGCCAGGGTTTTCATGCGACGCCAGCCAATACCCCCACTTTGTGGGGGGGCAGTGCAAGCTCTACCAAATATCCACACGACTCTTCGCCACCACCCACACCCAGCTTCCCGCCCTATGACGTTCGGACACTTCACTTCGTGGCCTGCGGACGACCGTGGCTACTACACTGGCGTGGAGTACACACCCACAGAAGTTGTTAGGACAGCGCGCGCGGGTAGAAATTTTGAAAAGTCGTGCAGGTGTTTTTCGAGGACCTACGGTGCGATTCGTGTGATTTTATGATGCGCGGTGCTAAAATTCTTAAGAACCCAATGGTTTTTGGAGATTTCGGCGTGCGCGCGCGAAGAAAAAACGAATGTGTCCCGCATGGTATTATTTGACAGGGATGATGGCCCTGGCAGGTGCGCAACCGTTGTCGCAGAAGTTCGAAAAAGTTGCTCGCAAAAGCCCGTTTGACAGAAATGTTTAAAAAGTGTTTGGTTTCCTACGAATCCGCAAGAGCGCGCGGGATGAGATTTTGACATTTTTTTGTTGAAAAACCATTGGTTTTTTGATGTTTTTATGTTAAAATCGCTCCGAACACTAAGCTTTTGGAAGGATTTCGTCTTGCGCGCGCGAATGTCCACTTTACCTTATTTTTTTGCAAGGGATTCTTGAAATTTGATTATATTAGAACAAGAAATGTCATTTTATAGTGTTTTTGCAAGGGAAAGCGGGGGGAACAAAACAACCGGATCTTGATCACATCGAATTACCTGAGGCTTCCTCACGAAAATGATGAAAATGTAGCTGCGGCCTAGGCGGCGCAGGGGGGCCGTGCACCAGGGGCCCCAACAATAATTATTCTTTAGAATTAATAATGTTCAACAACAACAAACAACAAACACACACAACTACACAACAACAACAACCCACAACAACAAAAACAACAACAACAAACAACAAAAACAACAACAACAACACAACAACAACAACAACAACAACACAACAACACAACAACACAACAACAACAACAACAACAACAACAACAACAACAATCATTTAAGACTGTTCGCCCTTATCTGCTCGAGTGTCCAATAACGCGTATTTCCCAAACCCTCGATACCCGCCCTCTTCGTCTTCGATCGAACCCCTTTTGGGGGGTATACCTTTCTTCCCTCAGGCCGGGCCCCGGCAAGCGGCGGGGCGGCCGCGGACCGTCGGCCTGGCCAGCGGCAGCGCTGATCGGCGGGGCGGCCGCGGACCGTCGACCCGACCCCAAGAGGGACGGACAGGGGGACGACACGACGACGACGACGACGACGACGACGACGACGACGACGACGACGACGACGACGACGTCGAAGACGACGGTCGACGACGAGCGAAAGAAAGAGCGAGAGAGAACGACAGCAGGGCCACGAAGGGCACGAAGTAGGCCACGAAGGGCGACAGCGGGGACACGAAGGGAATGCGTATGGGGCCGCGAAGAGTCGCGAACGAGCGGGGGCCACGAAGTGCAGATAATGCGGGGCCACAGAAGGCAACTATGGGGCCACTGAGGGTAGCAACTGGGCCACGTAGGACAATGAGGGGGACACGAATGGCGACAGCGGGGCCACGAAGGGCATGCACATGGGGCCACAACGGGCGCGACTCCTGGGTGCCTGGGTGTCGGGAGCGCGGCGCTTGGGCCAATTGCAAAACAATTCCAACGCAAGGCTATTTCAGTAAGTTGCAAGTAAGTCTTCAGCGAGAGCGCGACTCCAGAGCTCCGGGAGAGCGATTCCTCAATAAAGTATAAGGAAGTCCCAAGCGAGAGCGCGATTCCTGAATAAAATTCGCCGGCCCAACGGGCCAGAGGCGTGCTAAGATCTCCGGTAACTGGTTAAGAATTCTCTAGTTCGCGCGCGCGCGGGGCGGCCCCTGGGGGTCCCTGGACGAAAAGTACCCCGGCAAGGTCCTGAGAGAGTCCCGGGAGGAGTCCCCCAGAGCGCTCCAGGAGCGCTCCATGAGCGCACCAACAGGGCTCCGAGACGTCCCCGAGAGCCCCAAGAAAGGCCAAGAGGCCCCCAAGAGGCCCCCAAGATGGTACACGAGGGGTCCGACATGCCACAAGATCGCTCCAAGACGCCCAAGATAGCCCCCAGACGCCCCAAGAGGCCTCCCAGAGCACTCCCAAGAGGGCCCCCGGAGGCAAAATTCATTGTTTTTCCTTAGGTTTTTGAGAGATTTTGGAGCTTCCACCTTTTCGGTTCCCGACGCCCCAAGACGGCCCCAGAGGCCCCCAAGATCGCCCCAAGAGGGCCCAAGAGGCCCCCAAGAGGGCCCCAAGATGGCCCAAGAGGGCTCGAAGACGGCCCAAGAAGCCTCCAAGACGGTCCAAGAGGGCCCCAAGAACACCCCCAAAGGGGCCCCAGAGAGGGAACACGAAACAAAATTTCGCGCCCTCGGCCCTAAGAAGCCCCTACGAGGCCCCAAGAGGCCCCTAAGAGGCCCCAAGAGGCCCGAGCGCCCCAGGAGTCCCCCAAGCGGCCCCAGGAACCCCCAAAGCGCCGCATTGACACCAGGCCCTCGGGCAAACGGCAGACATGAGACCGTCTGGGCCGGCGGAATGAGCGAAGCGATTCAATGCGAGGAAGTCTTGGGCGGGAGCGGGGGTCCTGCCTAAATTGCAGGGAAGTCTCAGGCGGGAACCGTTGTTGTTGTAACCCGGGGGCCAGGGGCCCAGTTTGAGCAGGAAGACTTTCCCTGTCAAAAAACAGGGTGCGAGCGTCGAGGGGCACACTTTGATTCTGAAAAAACAGTATGCACCGGTGGGGGGGGGTCAACAATAATTATTCAACAACAACAACATCATCAACAACAACGACGACAACAACAGTCGGAAAATCATCCCCGTATAATTTGTTCTACTACCTTTGAACCTTCCTCCTGCAGAGGGACATGCCCGACTTAAGGCCAGCGGCTCATGGCCCGAGGCACGTGCGTGGAGGAGAGGGGGCCGAGGGACGCACGGAGATGAGACGAGGGGGCCAATGACATCCGCGGAGACGTCGTGGTCCGAGCTATTGTGTCCACCCCCGCCGCCGGGCGAGTCGGAGGGGCAGTGGAGCCTCCTCGAGGGGGAAGCTGAGAGGAGGAACTGGCTCGGAGGGTGGGGCCATGCCATCCGTGGAGATAGCGTGGTCCAAGCCCTGGTGTCCACCCCCGCCGCCTGGCGATTTGGAGGGGCAGTGGGGCCTCCCCGAGGGGGAACCAACCTTTTCAGAGGGGGGACCGGCTCGGAGGGGGGCCAGACACCCGCCTGGAATCGGCGACAGTCCGGCGATGGGCGCCCGACCGCGAAACGCGCGTTCCGGGGCGGGGCGGGCTGCTGGGCCCCTCTCGATTGGAGCGCGTTTCCTTATGTTCGGCGTTGACGATCGTCATGAGGGGGAGGCGGAGGGGGGTATGACGTAACAACCCCCCCCGCCGTGTGGCTCGGGCAACACAGCCGCGCCCGCGCGCACGACAACGATGAGCGACGATGGACGAGCGACGAGCGACGACGAGCGAGGACGACGACGACGACGACGACGACGACGACGACGACGACGACGACGACGACGACGGCGGCGGCGGCGGCGGCGGCGGCGGCAACGACGGCGACGACGACGCGAGCACAACGTACGCGGCGATCTGCCCCACAGCGCCTGTGTAGACCACAATACGCGTGAACACCACAGCGCGCGTGTACACCGCAGCGCGCGTGTACACCGCAACAGCCGTGTGCAACGCAGCGCCTGTGTACACCACAGTGCCTGCGTGCACCACAACGTCGGTGTACACCACATAATGTGTACACCGCAGCAACCATGTGCAACACAGCGCCTGTGCACACCACAATGCTTGCGTGCACCGCAGCGCGTGTGCACACCACAGCGCTTGTCTACACCACAGCATCCGCGTGCAACGCAACGATGGTGTACACCACAGCACCGTGCACAGGACAGGTAGAAGGAGCATGTAAGTGAGGATCTGCTGCGGACAGCTTAAAATCCACGCCACGGACGTGTTGATAATAGAATGCGACGATTTTCCCTCCTTCCTCCTCCTCCTCCTCCTCCTCCTCCTCCTCCTCCTCCTCCTTCTCCTCCCTCACCCTTCCTGCCTGTCGTGTGGGTCGAGGCTACAGCGCACGTGCACATCTCAGCGTGCACCACAGAATGGTTTATTGAATCGGTCCCCTTGGTTCTCTGACGAACAATTTAAATGGAGCCTCCTGGACGCAGGTCGAAGAAGCTAGGATGATGCGGGCGGACTCGGGAGGACTCGTAGATTCCAGCGGCGCTCTATTTTCAATAAGGATTCCTTTCCAAATAGTATATAAAACAATTGTTTTCTGTGGAATTCACAGGCGCTCTATTTTGTCATCAGGACTCCTCGTAACATTATATACACAGCAATGGCACTCTATTGCACACGGCTCTGTGGTGCACACAGGCGCCGTGGTGCACACAGGCGCTGTAGTGCAGGCAGGCATTGTGGTGTGCACAGTTGCTGTGTTGCACACGGCCGATGTGGTGTACGCAGGCGCTGTGGTGTACACAAGCGCGGTGGTGCCCGCAGGCACTGTGGCGCAGACTGGCGCTGTGCCGCTCGTGACTGATGCGGTGTACATAGGCGGTGTGGCGTACACAGGCGCTGTGGTGCACGCAGGCACTGTGGTGTACTCAAGCGTCGTGGTGCAGATCGCAACCTACGTCCTACATGCTGCTGCTACCCGTCCTCGGTCATTCCTCGGCATTCCCAGACGCCGCCGGCGCGAAACGTGACGTCATCGGCCGCTTCCCCCCCTTCAGATGATTGCCGTCATCGGCCCAGAATGGAAAAAAACAGGCTCCAGCCGCATCCGCGCGCACGACGACGATGACGAGCGACGAGCGACGAGCAACGAGCGACGACGACGACGACGACTGTGGACCAGACTTCTATGCGGATTCCTATGCGGACACCTGTGCGGATCCCGATGCGCACGCACAGGGGGGGGGGAGCCTTGCGTCAAGGGGGGGGTCGGCGGGGACCATGACGCCCGTCATGCCCCAAGCAATACAGAAACACGGTCTTGGAAGTCGGTGTATCCCCCACATCTGAGCCTATCTGGGGAAACCAGGAAGTACCAAGACCAACACTGTACGGACCTCTCCCGGGGTGCGCTCTGACCAGGATGTCGAGGCAGATCCAGCTGTGGGGACAAAGGCGTCCCAGGAAGCCCAACAAGGGGCACACGAGGCAAGGGTAGCGGTATCAGCACCTTTTCCTCCTCTGACTACAGTCGGGGCGCTGGAAAAGGAACCCTTCTCGTCGGGGAGGGGCTCCGTGTTCCTCAGTTGTTTCACACTTTCCCTGAGGTTTTCCTTCGGTTTTCCATTGGAAATCGTGGAAAAAAGGGGCATCGTTCCTTATTTAGAGTTCCTTAGGTCAACGCCCTGACTGTATTCTCCCCTACCGTTGCCCCAAACTCCTGCCAGGCGGGAGCGGGTCCGTGCACCCGTCGGAGCCCCCCTACCGTGGAGGCAAGGTGCGCAGAGGGCCTCCAGCCTCCCAGAGGCTGGGAGCTCTGATGCGCCTCTCCTTCTCCCAAGCAGCTATCAGGTCCTAGCTCCTCTCCTCCGCCTCCTACTCAATCTCCGCCCCCTGCTCGACCTCCTCCTCCTCCTCCTCCATTCGCGTCCTCCTCCTCCTCCTCCTCATCCTCCTCCTCCTCCATTCTCCTCCCCCTCGTCGTTCTCATCCTCCTTCTCCTCCTCCTTCTCCTCCTCCCCCATCCTCCTCCCCCATCCTCCTCCTCCTCGCCCTCCTCCCCCTTTCTTCTCCTCGCCCACGCGACCTGCCCCAGCCCCCCAAGGGGCGGCTCCCAAGCCCTCCCCCGGCGCCGGTCCTGCGGCACGCCTTGGCCCGGCCCTTGTGCTTCTCCAGCTCGCCCTCCAGGTGGCCGACCCACGCCCAGCCGTCCCTCTTCCTGCGGGGCAGGGGCGCAGGATGGCAGGGAGTTGCCAGCCTGGAACATATCCCTATCCCTATGTTGGGCATCGCCTCATCACAATGCCAATCTTAGGGATTCCCTTATGTGTTGAGGGCGCATCCCTAAGATTGTCATCGTTTTTTGGCATGTCAATCTTAGGGATAGGGATATGTTCGAGGCTGGTAGGCAGGTGGCAGAAAGGGGGGGCAAGAGGACGGTCCACGAGGAGCTCGCCGTCGCTCGGACGTCCATTTTTCCCAAGCATGTCTCGGTGTCGCGCGCGTGTGTTTTTGCTCGATGGTCCAGAACGGTCCTCGATGGCTCTCGCCGAGAACAATTGCACACGTCCGAGCGGTGCCAACCAAGGGAGAGGCGAGGAAGGGGGCGAGGGATGCGTGACGGAGGGTGCTGCAGGTACAGACCGGAGCTGCCAGCGGCCCGCTCGTGCCACTGGTCGAGGAAGGCAGAGAGCACACGCTCCTGCGACGAGCGAGGAGAAGAGAGGAAGCCCCTGTCCAACCCGCACACCCGAAACGGAGAAGAGGGGGAGGATGAGGAGGAGGAGGAGGAGGAGGAGGAGGAGGAGGAGGAGGAGGAGGTGGAGGAAGAGGAGGAGGGAGAGAACGGGAAAGGAAGGTAAGGCGGAAGGAACCATTCTTCGACATTTTCCGTCTCCCCTCTCCGCCCATCCGTCCTCTTCAAACCCGCACCCCCCGTACACCTCAGCATCCTCTGCTCCATCTGCACCATACCTCCTCTTTTTCCACCTCCTCCTCATCCTTCTCACTCGTTCATGCTCCTGTATCTCTTCCTACTCATTCATCCACCCACTCATGTCTCCCGCTCCTCGTTTCGCCCCGTACCACTCCCCCTTCCTAGTCCTTCTCATCATCCTTATCATCAGAATCATCCTCGCTCGCCTCGCCGTCCGCATCGTGATCCTCGTCCTCCCTGTCAACCAGTTGTCCTCGTTGTTGTCGTCTTCCTCCTCTTCCTCTTCCTCCCTCCCTCCCTCCCTCCCTCCCTCCCACTCCTTCCTCTCATATTCAGGCGCCTCCTCCTCCTCCTCCTCCTCCTCCCCCTCCTCCTCCTATTCCTCTTGCCCATCCTGTCTCCTCGACGGCTGCCAAGGGCTTCCCCCCCCTCCCCGACGTATTGGGCGCGGCCGTACCCTGTGCGGGACAGGCGATTCCGCATCCATGACCACCGCATGGGGATCGACGTGCGTGGACCCTGGCGGGCGGTATATATGATTGGACAGGCGTACTAGTGTGTCAGTGGTACTATGTGTGTATATAACCGGAGCAGGCAAGTCCAATAGAAACATGTAGTTTCACCATGTCGTGGCGGCTCGTTCCCCAAGCGGCATGGCAAGAAAACGCCCGACACAGAGGCTGCGCTGTGAGATTTTTGAACGTGCCAATCGCACCTGCAAGGCCGCGGCACACAGTGAAGAAGCACATGTGTAGGTGATGCCGACAGATTTGCCACCCCCAGGCACGAACACATCCACGTCCACCTCCTGCCGAGGCCCCCCGAAGATCGATGCCCACGGGGGTCATGGAAAAATGCCTCACGCAGAGAACGGCCGCGCCCGCTTCGTCGGGGAGGGGGGGCTTAAGCTCCGGCAGCCGTCGAGAGGAAGGGAAGAGAAGGGGGGGTGTTGATGGGTAATTAGGAGGAGGAGGAGGAGGAGGAGGAGGAGGAGGAGGAGGAGGAGGAGGAGGAGGAG